AGGTGGAGAGACTGAGTGACAAAGAGAAAACTCATGGACACGAATAGCAGTGTGGTGAATACAGGGGTGGGGGTGGGGAGAGGGCACAGAGGGATAAATAGTAATGGAAAAAATAAAATGAATTTTTAAAAAATCTGTGTTGGTCTTATGACTTGCATCAACCAACAGAATGTGGTGGAAGGTATACATGTCAGTTCCAGGCCTATCCCTACAAAGGTCCTGCACCTTTTTTTCTATTCTTTTAGAGCCCAGCTTCCATACTGTAAAGAAGTCCTGGCTACCCTGCTAGTGAGAGTGGCCACAGGGAGGGGCCCTAGAGGATGAGACAACACAGAGAGACCACCTAGCCCAGCTGATAGCAGCATGAGTTTGCTTGAGTAACCCCAGCCAAAAATCACGAGCAGAAGAGTCATCTAGCTGGATGCTGCCCAAACTAAAGCACTGAGGGCAGATGCATGGTAGTGGTTGTTTTAAGCCACTACATTGTGGGGTAGTTTGTTTGCAGCAATAGATAACTGATGCAGTCAGGTGTGACAGCTCTGCTAAGACAACTCAGCATCAGCACTTTGAAAGAAGCTTGTAAAATACTGTAGTTCACATATGAGTGTCATGGAGTTCACATCCCTAGAATTCCTTCACACATACCTTCTAATGCTTTGTAACATTTATAGCATGTTAACTCTTTGATCCTAAGACCAAGGTATTCGAATCTACTGCTGGTTCTATTAAATAATATGGATCTCCCTCTGAGCCAAGTTAAAGTGAAACATCCCTAATCAGATATTTCAAAAGTATATATGTACTTACATAACTTATGACCAAAATGGCCCTTTTTAAGAATGGCCTCATGGTTAGCAGGAAATGTCTATTACTGCTTGCTGTCAGATACCTGAAACAGGAAAGAAAAAAAAAATCTTAAAGATGTGTCAGAGTCCACCACTCATTAACATTCTCCTTTCAGTGTGAATATGCTGTAGATCTGAAAAGGCTTGGAAAGACCGAAGCTAGGAGTGTGGCTTTCGGAGCCAGACCACCTGGGCTTCAGTCCCCCAGCTCTGCTGCTTCCTGTCTGGACAACGTCAGGCAAGTTTCTTAACCTCTTTGCACATCAACTTTTCTCACTTATAAAAGGGGGGATAATAACAGTATCTACTTCACAGAAAAGTTGTGAGGAATAAATAAGATAACAACTGGAACAGGACCTACTAGCACTGTTAGCTATAAATAGTACTGTCCCATCTAATCCCAATATCCCAGGCATTCTGGAAACCATAAACAGGAGCTTATTTACCTACTTCATGTAGTTTAAGAAGTGCAAGGTCTTCTTCTAGCCACAAAATATTTCACAAATGTCTTATCCCTGAAAACAGGATGCCAAGGCTGTGCGAGGTTAAGTCATTTATCCAAAGTAACAAGGTTACTAAGCACCAGTGGGGGAACCAGAGCTCACCCATATGCAATGGGTCATTTTCTCACCCATATGCAATGGGTCATTTTCTCACCTGCCTATGGCCTTTGGAACCAAAGTAGGTTACAAGAATGTCAACTTCTAGTGGAGCAGGAACTTGCATGGAGCCTGCATCTGCCACAGAGCACTCACTCGAACAAAGTGGGAGCACCCTGTACCCACATATGCAACGTGTGGTTGGTGGCTTTAATAAAGACTACGAAAGGGAAGCAGGAGGGGGCTGGTAACAAACCCCGAGCAAAAACAAAAACCTGACGCAAGGCATTTTCACCTACATGCAGATTTCTATATTTTAAAGTACAGGATGGAGGGAAAAATGTCAAATGGAGTAGCATCATCCAGCAGGCATTTTCTAACTCATCCTTATTTCCCCTACCCTTTTTTCCTCTTTTTCTATTATTATTTTAAATCCAATTTCTCTTCAAAGAACTTATCCCCAGAATCTCTTAAAATCTGCATTTGAATGAGGTCTCTTTACACAATGGGACTATTCTGTAGAACAGAGACCCTTTTATAAAACCTGAGTGGGTTAGTATCACAAAGAAATGTCCACCTTGGCAATTGCTTACAAAATATATGTGGTTCTTCTGCTTTGATTGGACACATAAAAAAACTGTCCAAATGGCACTGTAAGGAGGTGACAGTGTCACTCAGAGGCAGGTCTCTTCCCTTTTCCTCTCCTGGTTCATACATAGCTGATGATCTGACCTTGCACGTATTTAATGAGTGGAGAAAAGGTGAGCCCAAAAAACTACACAGTCGGCTTTTAGCAAGCTCTGGATAGGATCCACCAAGCACGACATTTAAATCCTTTCTTCTCATTTAGCTCTCAAAAGAGAGCTTGGCAAGGAGGAAGGCCAGGGATCCTGTCAAGTCTCACAACACAGGTGCATCACTAATGTCCCAAAATAGGCTTACGGAGCCCACACATCCTGAACTGCACATGAGATTTTGTGTGTGTTTGCATCTGTGTATTTCTCGAGGCAAATTCCTTGGCTTTGATCTTCAATGTTAACTTGGTCTGTGACTCCAAAAAGATTCAGTCACTGCTAAGCATGTCCTCTCAGCTCTGCCTTTACTTTGTCATTTTCGGGATAACTGAACAAAGACCAACCCTAGGTATTTCTGCTGTTCCCTTCTGTAAGATGAATGGCTGCAGGGAGGGGAATGGCAGTGTGGGAAGGAAAGGTGCTGGGGAAGGCTGGAGTTGCAATGCATCTGAATGAAAAAGTGCTTCTCAGGTTGGTTTGCTTTTGGAAGCTTCATTTCTCAGGTTCCCTGTTGCTGGTTTAGTTTAACACAGTGTAAAACTAAAAAGTGGTTTCCTTTCTATCAAACAACAAACCATAGGGTTTAGGGTTTTTTCAATGGTAAACTTCGGTAAATTCATACTTTGTTTCACTGCAAGCTCACTATGATGGTTATTTCAGTGAGTTATATTTATAAGATACCCCTTTGTTTATAATTTCTACCTCCATGAGAAATTCCATTTCCTTGAAAAGCTAAGTTCTTTTAGGCACCAAATATTTACTCTTAAAATGCAGCATCCCAAAGCAATGAAAGCCTAGAATGATGCAGAGAGCAGTGGTTGAAAAAATGACTTTTCAAGTCTTCTATTTTTAGTGGTTTCCCAATATTAAATAAGGAAATAAGCCAAAATGGCACAGCCCCCTATTTTGATAAACACAAGATCAGAGGCTGAGATCCCTGGTTATGCGGTTCGGACCCTGTATTGTGTGTTCACCACCTCCCTGGCCATGCCATTTAGACCCTATGACCTTTCATATCCCTGGTCATATCCCCTGACCTTTCCCCTGGCACATGGTTCTTCCCCTTAGAGGAAGAACAAGGGGGTCAAGAATAGCCTTATATGACTCCCATATAAGACCTTGCACGACCACTCCCTTGAGCATTAAGACCTAGAGACAGCATCCAGGCCTCAATTGTGTTTCAGCTCCAGGCTCAGCAAAGCAGCAAGGCCAGGTGGGGCTGACATCAGGACCAGGAGCGATGACTAAGTGCCAACCCTTCGGTGGAGACCAGGACTCTGAGGAGACACACCTGGAAACCTGATGAATATTCTACTGAGATCCTCCCCACCACACCGCACCCCAGAGCTCCAGACAAAAGCCCTCAAGACAAAGGACCCAGGGCACTAGAACCCTCTCCCAGAGCATACCTGTGCCTTTCCCCTCCCACTTCTTGCTCTTTCTGGGGCACCCCAGTGCCTTTCTCCCCTCCTTCCACCAGGCGCATTCCCTTTGCCTTTCTTTCTGCTATGCTCTGATGCCCTTCTTTTGCCTCTGTAACATTTCCAGAGTCCACTTGGCCCAGCTGGCTCATTTCTTCCACAGCTCCCTTTTCTACCCATGTGACTTTCTGAATAAACTTCCCCTTGCATTTGAGTTCCCCGGCTCTGAATTCTTTTCTTAGCCAAACTCAAGGACCAAGGTCTAACATTCTGGTGCCAGTCTGCCTTTAACAAATCAACCCCCTTTCTTCTTCTGTGTCTTCCTTACCCTCCAGTACTACAGCAGAGTCCAAAATAAGAATGCCACTTCAATGCCACTGTTTCCCTTACCTTAAATCTTGGTGGTTTAAATGAAGATATGCTATACTTTCCAGCTCTTCTCAGAATCTCTCAAAACTTGATAATTTTGCCTTAATACCAGCTCCAGTGGCAAACATCTCAGATACAAAGAGTTGTTACTATTTAACATTGTACTGATAAATTATAAAAAGCTATATACCAAATTACTTCTAGAACATCATACTAATTTAATTTCTCCTGCTCTGTCAAGGTAATAAAGGAGGTTAATAAAGAGTCACATACTTTAACCAAAAAATTGAATTCAAAGCTTTTTAGAAAAGGAGTTCAGAAATCTGCTTCTCTTGAAAACACAAGAAAAAGACTTTGCAGTTAACTAAAGTAACAAAAATAAAGCTTATATTAGAAAAAGACTATAAGCTTAACAAAAGCAACAAAGGAAATTTAAGTGGGGTTGAGTACTATCTTTAATGCACTCTCCTTGAACCTATAAAGTGCTTCATCTAAATCTTAATAACCAAAGGCATTCCACAGAGGAGCAGAGCAACCTTTGATGTCTCCTTTGATATTTAAATGAAGATTCTGAAGGGAAAGAGCTAACCATTCCAAGGAGACTGGATGCCTTTCTCAGTTCAATCTACTCAGAAACTCAAATTGACTCTCAATACCCCATTCTGTGGCTGTCATAGAACTTCTGCCCAGAAATTTTAAACTCTTAACTTATTATGTTACCTACAAAGAAATATTTACATAGATTATCACACAGAATGGTGGAAATAAAGTCAGAGAAGACATAGGGGAATATAATTTCATTCTGAAAATCAAAGTTAGAATCGGAAGGACTCAGAACAGCTCAGGTAGATTTACAAGTGAGAAAAAAATAAAGTACAGAAATGTTAACTGACTTGCAAAAGGTCATAGTCCTTCAGTGGCAAAGGTCAATAAGTTTAAGCTTCATCAATTTAGTCAGATGGTCAAATTTATATTCCTTCTACAATGAATTTAGAAGGAATTTTTATTCCTTCTACATGTAATAGCAAAAATTTAGTTTTGGTAATATCACCCTTTCTGTCATTAACATCCCCAGCTAAGTTTCAATTCATTAATAATAGGGAATACTTAATACATTTAATATGTGCCAGTCACTGTGCTAAGTGCACTTTTTAATGTCATTTAATCCCCACACCAGCTCTGGGAGTCCATTCTTGCTTGTCCCCACCTTGTGAATGAGGTTGAAGGAGGTACTTACTCAGGATCTGCTGGCGGCAGAGGTGAGACCCAAATCCAAAACTAAAGCAATCACACTACTCCACATAGCATAAAAGTAAAATGGAGCTGGTTTATTCAGCCCAGTTTCAACACAGATTATTTATTAAACGGCATTTCTGTAGGTTAGCAACACAGTGACTTCTATGCAATTAAAATAATAAAGTTCATCTTCAATATCTTCATCAGTTCATACAGGTCTACAATAAGACTTATAATAAACTTTCTTTATACAAATGGATGAACTGAACCAGTGCACAATTCTTAGAGTCTTTTAAGAAATATCCATTTACAGGTTAATGTGTGTAGTGGTTGCTGCAGGTTAAAATGCAAGCTCCATGTACAGTGGGCTGATTCAGAAATTCTCAGTAAGAAAAGATGCCGAAAAGGAGAGTGTGAACAGAGCTGACAGGGTGTCACTACACTGTGACATGATCAGCCAGCCCACCACACAGAGAGCTCCAGCAAGCAGAATCATAAAGAGGGACAGCTAAGGATGCCCCAGTGTGACAATGAAGCTGACACCTGAGGAAGATGAAAGTGAATTAGGTGAGCAGCGAAGGAATAAGACACACACAGAGGCCTAGGGCTGAGCAAGGGCAAAGCC